AGCTCATGGACACAGTAGCCATCCTATTGCTTGCTCTCAGCACTGAAACATTTTTCATTTGAACTGAAAAAATTGATTTGATTCCCCACTCTAGAAGATCAAGGTGAGACAGCTTAGGACTGAGACTGCAGTCAAAGGTATTGGGCTGAGACCTAAAAAAAGTAATGTTGCAGCTCTCACAGAATTTATTCTCAGACAGGAGTCTCAGAGCAAGGTTAGATTACCCAGAGGGAAGGTGTCAACACAACCCACCCTGGAGGAGAAGTTTTGCTTTGTCATATTCTCACAGAGTTTGGATTGAATTGTATTAGAACAGAGTAAAATGAGCATGTACTTCTCTACTTTCCTGGATTCGACTTCCTTTGTAGGACAACTCAGATGCTGGTCTTACAGGCATCCTCTGTGTTTTGAGGAATGAATTTACACACTTTCTTTAACTTGACCTATTGTCAACAAAGGAAAAGAGATCTTAAGCTGCTTTTATTGGTGGACTTAATTTTAATGTGGCCAGCTCTGAGCAAAGGTGGAGGTTATGGCAGTGCAAACTATGCATGACAAGTAGTTGATATTTGGGGTCCTGGAAAACCAAGCTGTTACCATAACTGAGGGAGCAGTTGGCACTGTACCCTGGCGGCAGCTCTGGGAGAAGTGAGAGAAGCCCCTTCCAAGAGCAAAGTCATTTAAAGTCATTACCTTCACTTCACCCCCAAATCTGCAGACTCCAATTGCTGATATGTTTCCTGGGTACAGAGAGCTTGCCATTCCTCAGATGGCATCCCCTACCCTTTTAAGAAGCCTCAGACTACCTATGAAATACTTTTTTTTTTTTTTTTTTTTTTTTTTTTTACTATTTAAATGATTGACCTAGAACATTAACTTGACTAATTTTGAGTAGAACTGAAATAAGCAATTCCGGAGCTTCTACATAGATCCTCACCTTGAGGGATATTCTATGTGCTGTTCTTTCCAGGGTCAGAGAATCAAATGGTAATTTAGGTTGAAAAGGACCTGCAAGAAGTCATCTAGTTGGATTTCCAGCTCAAATAGCATTGGTATTCAAGTTAGGTCCAGTTGCTATAGGCCTTCTCCAAGCAAAAAGTTGATTCTCTCCAAGATGGAATCTAAGCCAGGTGGAAGAAAAGTGTTATTTTTCTGCCTTGGGTTTAGAGCCTCAGTCTGTATGCAAACTTGCAAATACCTGAAAGGAAACAAGAAAAAAATCCCTTTCAGTCAATTGCTTTCTACCCCTGTTTTAGGTTGAGACAGCCTTGAAGAGCAAAGAATGAAAATGTGAAGTGGGGAAGCTAAGCTTAGAATCCCCATCAGCATTTTCCTTTCCTTTAAGCCTCCATTGTGAAAGGTGGGATTTCAGCCACAACTGGCATTTCCAAGTGCTTTACATTCAGAGGCTTCCCTCTCAGTGTATGAGATTTGTGGACCACCATTTTCCAGAATCAACCTCTCCTGAATGTAAAGTGTCCTGGACACTTAATTCAGGGACCAGGATTCTGCTCAGTGGCATTGCCATGCCAGTCTGCAGGGATGCTGATACCTTATTGTATCTAACCCTTGGCTATGAAAGATTATCATCTTCAGTTCTTAGCTATCTATTTGAAGTTATATCCAAGTTTCATCAGGATCTCAAACAGTTTTACTTTGTTTTATTATTTCAGAGATGTCAACAAGAACTTTAAGTTGTATGATGAAATATTTTACTCCCTATTAGTGGATAGTTTGCATGTCTACCAAAGCTCAAGCAAACTAGTAGGCATTAGAATGATTATTTTATGCTAATCTACTCCTTTAACTTTAAAGTAATTAGCTGAGTTGAGCAGCAAAACAACTCTTTCCTACAAGAGCCAGTAAATGGACTGTCTGTAAGTGCAAAAGCTGATTACTTTGATATAAAGAGGGACGTTATTTTTTGCACCTCTGGAAAACTGCCTAACTCAAAAGCCTCATAATCTGATTTTCAGAAATCCTATTTAACACATTATTATATTCTCTTTAACAGGCAGCACCTAAAGAGATATCACTCTTCTCTGATGTTTCCCCTTCATTTTCATATTAGAATCCACCATCCCTACTTATGATAATTTGTGTCATAGTCACCAAAATGTTATATTAAATCTAATCTTTTTACATTAATTTTTTTTTAACAATTAAAATAAAATGGCATGCAGTTTACATTTTTACAATTATACTGACTCATACCTGTGTCAGATTTTAAAGTCCTTGATGCATGGAAAAACTGATTCTTCCAACAACTCATACCTCAATAAGATTTCAGTAAGTTTAATGCACCTGAAGGGGTGCATGCCAAAAAATAAAAGAGAAAGAAACTGATTAACAGTTCATTTTGGCAAAGTCTAGAGAAGTGTGTTGTAACCAAGACATGAAGGACAGACAAGGTGGAAAAAAATGCACATTAAAAATAGAGATTGATGTGAAATTCAAAGAAGCAACTTTTTCCAGCTGAAGAAATTTTATTTGATTAGAAATCCATCTTGAAAACTAGATTACTCCAATGTATTCAATACATTTGTATACTCTGATATACCCAGTGGATAACCCCTACAAATTCTTTATCCAGCTGTAGTTTTAATGTAATAAGCAAATGCATTTCCCCAACTTAAATCTGGTACTAATATACAGTCTAACAAAAATTAATTCTATCAAGTCCCCCATTATATTCACTATCAAAGTCCTTTGCTAAAAGTGTTCTGTATAGGACTCACAGTGTCGAGTGGACAACATCTTGTCTGGTTTGCCATTGTCAGAGGTACCATGTAATCCCACACATAAATGTGGCAAGCATCACCTTGAGGAGAGTAGGTATTCTGGAGTAGGGATGCTTCTCTGAAGGTTTTTGGGAAGCTTTTCTCATCTTCAGCTGCTTTCCAAATCTGCTTTTGGTATTTGCAATGCCAATATTGTTCTTGAGGCACACATTTTCTCTCTTGTGTTTAACTTGGTTCAGGATTTTTGTCAAAGTAAGCAAGCACTGCCTTTCCAGGCAGGTAGCTGTGAATCTCTTCCTTTTGCCTGGCTAATTGAGCAGCCACTCACGTGGAACTTTTGTCTACACTACCAGGGACTGACTGACAGCAGTCAATCCAATCTTGGGCAGTCTGTTAGACACCATCCACTACAGAGGCAGACAGACAGACAGACAGAGGGATAGACTCTGCCTGCCAAGCTTGGAGAGTGAAAAGAAGACCTCTGGTTTTTACTCACATGACCAAAGGTACATCTTCTACACCTTCCTGCACATTCTGTCCAAATTTTTATCCTTATTTCAGAATAAATTTTCAAATTGATCCCTGGTTTATTTTTGCACTCACTTGTGAAAAAATGTGGGACTGTGCCCACAAAAAAGAAAGTAATTTCTCCTCAAAGAAAAGAACCAAGCGTACACAGTGGTGTTCTGAAACAAATTCTGGGTTTGCATACAAAAAATAAGTCTTAAAAGTAAGAATTTATAGTTGACAATGTTTGTTAGTGTTCCCAGCTTCCTTGTGTTTTTAAAATAATCTAATGACCTTGTAGAATTTTTTGTTGCATGACCTGAAAATTTGGTGAGAATATTACATGTACCAGAAAGGACTTTTAAGAGCTGAAAATCAGAATTATCTGAGAACGTAATCATTAAAGAGTGGAATTCTAAAGAGGTTCCTGAGAAAATAAAAATGAAATAAAATACTAGCATAGAGGTTCTCCTCTAGGTGTTATGACTTCTGAGATATGCTGATTTATGGTGTGGCTGGCACAGAGGACTTAAGCTTTCCTTCAGTCACAATGTCTTTTTATTTCTCTTCTGTCACCCCCTAGGCAGGCAGTTTCTGTTCTATGAGTACTTACTGAGTATCTGTCATCAACCTTTATTGTGGCCTAAATATTGACTAAAAAGAGGAATACAACGATTATTAAATTATAGTTCTGTTTTTAACTCCACATTTTAAACTTCAATATATTTGAGAGTGAACAGAAGACCTTTCTTTGCCTGGTTGGCTTTTTAAATTATTTTTAATCTTCTTCCCTGCTCACACTAGGGGCAAAGGTAGACTTTTAATTATCTCTAGTACAAAGTGGGCTGGGAAATGACTGATTTCATCATAGCAAATATTTCACAGTTTGTCTTTCTTTTGTTGAATGGAAGAGTAGAAGATTAAACTCCTGTGTTGTGAAAGTAGGAAAATGTCCAAAGGGTGAAGAGTCTGAGCAAACATATGCTTACTGATTTGAACAAGTGGAATTCCTCTGGCTGAATTCAGTAGAACCATGTCCTTTAATCAGCAGAGTAAAAGGATGGCTACTCCCTTTCACAGCGTGCTTCCCATAGCAGCTCTTCACTTAAGGAGCCTCGGCATTCCTTGTTCACATCAATCGTCTGTTAGAAAGAACTCAATTCTCCACAAATGAAAATAATGCATGAAGATAATTTCAAGAGTTGATTGAGAAAAATAAGTGGAAAGCTTATCAAAGTAATATTTGAAATGAAAAAAACCCTACATCTCCAGCTCTGAAACTTTAATCTTTCAGAAAGAAAAGTGAGTAATCTTTCTTGGTCTTGAAGAGGTATGAAGGTTTGATAGCAGCCAGGCCTGGAGCCAGGTTCTTCAGTGAGCTGATTTGAGAACAAAAAGCAAGCACTTCTCTTCCTCCCACTACTTTTTTGCTACCTACAGGTATTTAGTGCCGCCTCCATTTGCTGTCTATTGAGTGACATTAATCTAGGCATTCCAGTTCTTTAATATTAATATCTTTTTAATTGAATCTGCCCATATGCCAATTATTTATCAATTCTTTATATTTTCTTCTGAGCTTCTTTTAACTTTTAATTTTTTTCAGTTACAGGGATTTTTTGTGGGAGGCTTAAAGTAATTATACTTCTATTCACCAGCTGTATTCCTAATTAACAAGAATTCCTTTTCTAAGGTCTGTGGATGACATGTTGCTGAGTACAACATCTTTCACATTTAATAAGAAAAAGGAGGCACTAAAGTTTAACTTTTTAAAGTGGTATTTTTTTGTGTATTATGTTATCACAGCAGAATTTATTTTCATTTTCCATCCATCTCCTGTAACTATAACATCTGAACTTCCATATCACAAGGTAATAATTTTATTTCTGTCATTTAAGTACAAATATATGCTATGGACATATATTTGTACCATGGAAAACTTTATATTTATCAATATATCTCTAGATAGATAGATAGATAGATAGATAGATATGTAAATAAATGTACACTGCCAAATTTTATGCTCAAAATTTAAAAAAACATGAATGCAGTTTTATATACAGTGTTCTGAAGTTGTGTGGGTATTTTTAGTTCTCAGGGTATTGTTTTACTTTGATGCTTATATTGGATTAAAAAAGATGAAGTCAGTCACTTAGACTTAAAGTGATTAAAGAGGAAGAATTGTGAAACTCGCCTGAAATATTTACTTTTTCTCCAATCTGAACTTGTCTGTCTTCAGCTCTCTGCTACTGAACGCTTTATTTCCTAGATTTTCTTTCTCTTCTGTACACATCTGCAAACCTTGAGATCAGTCTTCTCTAAGCAATTCCAGATGTCTCTACCTGCAGGTAATGCATTTCAATGCAATTGTTATTTTTGTCATTAAGATTTGAACACACAATGGTCTTTCCACCACTTTTCTTGAATTTGGAATGCAGTGTAGAGCTGAACACGGACTCTGGAGTACTCCAAAAGCAAAATAGCTTCTTCATGTTTCCATAGTAACTACCTATAAATTCGAGATTTAACTGAGTCCTTTTACTCCTGCCTTGCATTAGGAGCTTATATTCAGATGTCTGTGAACTCTCCCAAAATGTTTTCCTGGTCACAGTCTGGGAGGGTCCTTATGTAGCCTATGCTTGGAAAAGCTTACATTGGCATAGGGAATATCAGTGCTAATGAAGGAATATCAGTGTGTGTGAATGAAATATAAAAAACTCTGTGATGGGGCTTTTGCCCCAAACAGGTTACACTGTAGAGCAAGATAATCACAAAACAGAATAAAAAGTAACCAAGAAATTACCAAGTGATTTTGGAATCAAAAAAATCTCCTTGAAAAGGAGCTATAAAGAAAAAAGTCAGATTGGAAAGGAGTTGTAAAGGAAAGCTATATTTATTTTTTTCAGCAATGGAGTGATCCCTTGCAGTGGCCACAGCAGTGGTGCTGCCAGAAGTGGTTCCACCACCATTTCAAGCTGTCTAGGCCAGGCAGGGCTTCCACCCTGCCAGACACCAGAGCATCACTCCAGCCAGCTGACCAACAATGCAGGTGACAAAATGAGGGGCCCACACCCAGGAGGTGTCCATATGAACTACTGGGGTGCTTTAGTGCTTTGTAGGTAGTAGCTGGCATTAGTGCATAGTAGGAAGCATCTCCACAAAGAAACAGAAAGAGCATCCACATGTCCAAGAAGAAATGTTGGTTTTAATTTTTAAAAAGGTCTGGTTGCTTGCCCCTTCTATTATTAATTTTCTTTGCAGTATGTCAGCTGTCAAACATTTGGAGATAAAAGTTTGTTTACATTCCAGGGAAGCAAAACCAAACAAAATCTACTGTAGGGAATATGACAATTTAATATTGTTTTTCTTCTTCAACATCCTGAAATAGACTACCACTAGTCGAGAAATCTGTGATGTATTAGCTCATCTAAAGTTAATAAGTGTCACTGTAACTGCATACCTAATCACACTGCATGGGCTTCTCCTCTCCACTATGTGAACTCTGTTTCCTCTGCCTTTTATGATTTCTTTTGTTCTTCCTTGGGTGCCTGGACAGCATAGTCGCAGTGACTTCTCACCCCTTTCTCACCAAACAGCTGTAAATGCAGATGTTCTGCAGAGCCTGCCATCTGAACTAATCTTGGGGAAGATTCTTGACTCCTGTAAATTGCCTGAGTACCACTTCAGTGTATAAGACTTGGCTGATTCACACCATCTGGCCCTTTGAGCCACTCTGTGTTTATTTGCATAATGGAACATATTGTTTCAGGCTCATGCTGTTTAACTGTAAGATTTCCTGGCCAGAGGCTGTCATAACAGCATACTGTACAGTCCCAGGTAAATTTAAAGAGCTATATAAATAGTGATAAAATAGATCCATTTTCTTTTACCACTTTCCAAGCCTACCTCCAAAGACCAGAGCTTTCTCTACATGAGTTAGGTAAGACTCCTAGAGTCTGAGTTGGACAAGTTCCTGTGTCAGCTAATAGCACAGTCTTTCTCAGAGCTGACACCTTACTTAGACTCTATAGACAATAATTTATACTGTAGGACCAACACTGAGATTATTGTGTCGTTTTGTTATCCTGCATACTTTGTTGTTATTTTTTCTATTCAGCTGGGTTAGATCACTATTGTACTGGATTATGTCACCCTTCACCTTATGTCTTTACTTTTTCTAAAAGGCTTCAGAAGGATTCCACTACTCAACACAAAATTAAAGAGTGTAGCCCATTGCCATTAGGTGATAGAGTGAAGAACTCCTGCCCAAGATCTAGATAAGAATAGCATCCTATTCCTTATGCGATTTTATACCAGATGGGCAAAAGGAAAAGTACCAAGAATTGAATTTTAGGTTCCTACTTGGTTTATAGTTTCTTAGCTTTCCTTAAACAGGGATGAATCAGTACTATTAGTCTGTGCAAAGTGAAAAAATATAAAATGTGGGAGATCTCTTTTCTTTTTACTGTAGAAAATGTCTGTGTTGTTTATCTCTTATTTGTTCTAGGAGAACTGAAAGTACAAAATGAATATGCCACTGTCTAACTCTCTCTTACATGGTCACAAAAAATACCCCACTTTCTCCCTTCATCTTAGCATCTCATCAGGCTATGAGAGTGATTGGAGGAGCAAATAGGGCTGGAAGAAACCTCATGCTCCTTATTCTCCCTACATATTGCATGCCCATGTGCATTCCTAGCAGCTTGTTCATGGGCACCCTTAAAATCCACAGATCTCTTAGTCCCTTCAACATTGGACCAAAGAAGAAGTATTTTGTCTTATTTTGTCTTCTAAATGTGTGCATAGACCTACCAGATGTTACTGTGCATACTCCACTTGGAACATCGCTTTACTGTTTCAGTGTCTTCATAGACTTCTCGTTTGCTCCTTCCTATATTTTCTGTATATAACTTGTGTTAACACTCTGGGGTTCTTTTAGATTTAATTTAATTTTAATTTTTAATGATTTTTGTTTTATTGGGTGTTTTTTTAAAATTTTGCTTCTACTATTGATTCTTTTTTTTTTTTTTTGGGATAGCTTGCTGTGAGGCATTCTGAATCCTGAATTCTTGCATTCTTTGCTCTGTGATGTCTGGGACAACAGAGGTTGTCATTATAAAAGCAATTTTCACATTGCACAACATGACTCAGACTGATCAGATGGAGTCAGGAGAATCAGCAAATATTTTTCCAATCTGTATTGCTAGAAGTTTTTAAAGTATCTTTCATATCGAAGGCATGGTAAAAATATAGAACATCTAGGCATGAATTTGGTGTGATATTAAGAGAAATAAGATCTATACAAATTAAGAATGCTGTTGCTTACCACCTCAATTTTGCAGAAATCAGTTCTATTCTGTTAATATTTTCTAAGATATTGCAGTAATATTTATAATACTGGGGTATTCTATATCTATAATGTTATGGCATTTAAAAGTAAAGTTGTGATTTTCTAGTAATATGTATTCATCTGTGCATATCTACTTCAAGTATTGCTCTTCAAGAATGACAAGATAAGAAAACTAAAAGCAAGAAAAAAGTATTTTGGATTGCATTTAAAATAAAACCGAAATAAGTCACAAAGTGAAATTGTCCTGATTTTTTTAAATTATGACAATAATTTCCTGGTTTTTTACAAGCTCTACAGATCACCAGAGATTAAAATGGGGATTCAGGGCAGAGGGTAAGTTTAGCTTTTTTGTTTCATTCATTTTGGTGTGTTTTGGTTTGGTTTGGTTGGAGCCTTTTTTATTTTTGGTGGTGTTACATTTTTTAGACATTTTTGTTAGGGTAGCAAATTCTATTAATCCAATGCATTTATCAAATATAGGAGATGTTAATTAAATATTTGGGTTGATTTGGTTGCATTTTTTTGTAACAGTTGTTTTAACCAGCATTTGATAACTGCCTGTATAACTCCTTCTGGATACAGTCTGAGGGCCATTGATGCTTCTTTTACATTAAAATGCAGGTCCTGTAGAGCTCAAAAATAACCATACAGAGCCACACAATTTGGTGCTCAAAATCCAGCAGCTGTCTTTTCTGTAGCTGGTGGAGAGGAGACAGGGGATTCCTAAAGTCTCTTGCCACTCCAAGGTCAGGCTGCTGTAAAGCACATTGGATATAGTGCCTAACTGGCACAACAAATGAAAAGGATTTGGCCTCTTCAGCATTTTTGCTAGGATCTGGAGCACACTAAAGCAAATGTCCTGGCTGTTCCCATTTGCTGGGCTTTGGTTCTTATTGCATGGATGACTCAGAGCAGACAAACTGAATTTCCTTTGGGCAAGACAAGCCAGAAGGTGCATTCCCAAATTACATCTAAAGTACACCAGCTGCTGAGAACACTCAGTGCATGGGACCAGTCTGGATACAGTTCAAAGCAAAGCATCCTGAAAGAAATACAGCATGGACATAAGGTCCCCAAGAAAATGTGGTGATTTCTGCAGATATGTTCCTAATTCTTCTAAATGAAGGCAGAAACAATGAGAGATCATCTGGACCTCCCCTGTAGTTTCATAGAAAGACTTTTATCCTCTGATTTACTTTGTTGTTCAGCAATATGCAATACAGCTGAGGAAATATTGCCAGGCATTCATATATATTCTTTCTAGATTTCTCTCTCTCTCTCTCTTTTTTTTTTTTTTTTCTTGTGACACTAGGAAAACCCTGGCTACAAGGCAAGATGTCCAGATTATACTCATAAGTCTGTAAAACTTTTTGGGTGAGTAGTTACCTTGTTTGACAGCAGCAAAGCTTTTCATCTATAAATGGATTATAATACTTAGCTTATAAGAATTCTGGGAATATGAATAAATAAATGTTGAAACTACTTTAATGAGAGGTATAGTAAGCCCACACAAAATTAAAATTTAATTTTTCTATTTATCTTTCCTCATGTGTATTTAGGCATACTTGAAGAGGCAAATTTCTATTTGCAAAACTGTTAGAAGAAATCAGATACTTCAGATGACAAGAATGACAAAGAGAAGAATCACTTCTGTCAGATTATTACATAGAAAGAATATCTTGAAGCCCAAAGAATAAGAGAGGCAATGGAATTTGTGAATATGGAAGTAATTTTTAAAAAATGAAAAATTATGAATACTGCTTGGTATTTCACATAACAGTTGTCTCTACCTTCAAGAACAGATCTTGGGTTCAAATATTGCAGAGCATGGAAGTGCCTACCTCTGTCTTATCAAGTGCTGGAATGGTGCAGGATTTCAGGCACATCTTCTATTGTATCATAACTATCATGAGTGGGACTATTCCAGCATGAGGGGCCAAACAGTTCCCAGACCTGCAACACGTGAGAGACCTCATGGACAAGTGGAAACGCTCCAGTTCTGCCGGGGAGGCAGGAAGCAGGACTGCTGAAGAAGCAGGTTAGCAAGGTTTGCACAAGGCTGTGTCAAAGCTTACAGCACTCAGAGCTTGGCTGAGGGCAGGTAGGACTGCAAACGATTACTGTGTGAGGTGTTGGCCCTGCTGCAGGCCACGTTCTTGAAAGTGAGACACAGTAGAGTCTAAAAAAATACATGTCAAAACTTTCATGAGATCTAGTCTGTGATCATGAAAACAAAAAGTGAAGAATTAGCTGAATGCCAGTGTTAAAAAGTCATTGACTACCTGTTGAAACACAATTGCATTTGGTATTTTTTGGTATTTTTTTATTTATATTTTAGGGTGTTGAGTATCTGCTCTTTTGAAAAAAATATGTATCAGTTGCGTGATAGCACTTCTGAAGGTTTCAACATTAAGAACTTCAGAAATTTCTTTTGAGTGTTTTTTTTTTCAGATTCTGAACGAGTTGAACTGGTGCTTTTACTGTGATACCTTTGAACAACACTGTCAACCTCTTTTTTCTCCTTTAGTGAGGCTGGGGTTCTTTTGTAAGCAGTGAGTGTTGTAATGTGCTGGAGGTTATGTTATGATATAACATTCATGTAAATCAGCATACACATGGAAAAACTCAAGACTAGCTCCAGGGCTGGGGAAACTTGGATATACAATACAAAGTCTTTTGAATAGGAAACTACAATTTTAAAATCCTGTCATTAAGAAGTCCTCACTAGTGCTTGACAGAATCAAAAACCTTCTCTATTTGGGGGGTAAAGAGGTTTTTTAACCTCTCATTTTGTAACTCTGAAGACAGAGTGTTATCAGTATCTGAGGTGGAATAAAGGCAGTGGGTCACTGCTATCCCTGCCCCGCACATACACACTCTTGAAAAGTGGCAAGAGGAGAACTATCATTGATATCCAAGATTGCCTGGACACACAACTAGGCTGGACACACAGCATCCTCAAAATTGTTTCCTGAAAAAGCTTTCTGCTTTTTTTGTTTACTAAAGTTCAAGTAAATCTAACCAGCAATTTTTACCCCAATGGATCTGGAAAATTCTGCTGAGAGGTTATCCAAATCAGCATGTAATGAATTATAATAAAACTAAATCACAGATTTTAACTGATATAAATAACAAACATCAGTTTGTTATCATCATAGATAATTTTTAACTTGTGTCACAAAACTATCTCATGATTGCAAGGTCTGCTTTACAATAGGTGTAGTGTCCTGACTTGCTGATATCTGGTACACTGTGGAAATATACTGCTTGTGCTGAATTTGACATGCAATTACAACATCATCATGAGCTGAACACATAGACTGCTGGAAGACTGTAGTATTTTATTCTGATAACTGTACTATTTTTTAAGTAACAATCTTCACAGAATTACAACTAAGGCATACCTTTGATTTAAAAAGTTGTAAAAATGACTTTCCTCATAACATGAATTAATAAAGTTATGCTGTTCTCTGTTGTGACTTGTTAGACAAGTTTATTGCCTTGGAAAAGAGATATATTCTTGCAATAAAATCCATCCATCTTTGGTGGCTAAAAATCAGGAGACTGGAAACTACAGCACGCCATTCTGGCTTGTGTGTAGATTTTTGCTTCCTCGTTTTCTTTGAACAGCAAAGAGGTAAAAGAACCTGAATTACAGTAAAAGTATTTTAGTTCCAACACTTTTTGATGATGTTGGACTAATAACAAAGGAAGTTTGTGTTGATTTAACCCTTAAAGCACTTCTAGACTCATGAAACGTTGTATAAAGTCTGTTAAAACAGAGGAAGCACCGCAGTCACTTTTCAGTCAGCCTCACCAAAGAATAATTTCTAAATTACCCAGACTAGGATGAACTGAAATATCCCCTTCATTGTCTTCCATGATAAGAATGTGTTGATTATAGTTTCATGAAAATAAAGATAACCTAAATGCTTAGTAAGACCCAAAGGTTATGTTTTTTATTTGGTGAATGAGATGAAAATGATGTGAAAAAGAAAATAATTTTGGTCTTGCACTTTCTTTATATCATAATGTTATTGAAAAGAAATGAAGGGTTTCTATTTTCTCAGAGAAACTTTGTAATTTATTAGACTCTTTTACTAAATGCATTATCAAAATTAAAAAATTAGACACACCAGGCACACTTAATATAATTCTTTAATATTTAATCTTGTCATGTAATACCGTTAAACTGTTTAAGGCTGAAATTCCATCAGATCTTTAACTGGATTATCTAACTATTGGTTTAGAGATTAATAAGAGTTCCTTCCCCACCATCTTCATCCCAAGAAAAAACGTTGGAAATGTCAATGATTCACTAGGTGTCACTCTTATCTCTATGAAACTGCTGAGAGAAGACGATTCCAGCATGGCAGAAGAAAACATTCACTTCTGGAAATGCTATCTCAGATGGAATATAAGGCCATAGACCTGATAACTTGTAGTCATTAGGAAGTCCTCACCCTTTTTCAGATGAGCCGGACCATAGCTAATCACAGCAAATTGCAACTTGTCATAATTGCATTCTTGCTTGTTTAAATATTTTTCTAAATTTAAAATCAAATATGATTCACATTTCTTTCTAAAACCAGTATTGGCATATACACTCAGCTGCATTATTCTTTACCTAAACGTACCATTTTTATTGGTTAAAAGCTTATCTCAAGAGACACTGTACCTCACTTAATAAAGCATTGAAATATATAAATGAAAATGAGGGGTGGTAGGTAATAAATACTGCGGAAGAGAACACAAGCACAAGATATATGCCCCGGAATATGGCTGTTGTTAGAATGGTGAAATTATGGTGTGCTACTTTTTACCTCTCCAAATTCCCACAGGGGGAGGTGGTCTTTATATGAATAGTAGGCCCATTCCAAGGGACCTCATTCACCACTGAGGTGACCCAGCTCAGCCTTCCACATTTCAAAACAAAAAATAAAACAAACAAATAAACAAAAGTTTATTTGGCCTCACTGTGTTCTGCCAGATCTCTTCCTCTTTGCATGAATACACTGAGCTTATTTCCCTACCTTAGTTTCCACAACCATTTTAAGCCAGGTAAAGAAATGTGTGTTCCAGTCTCTAATATCCCTTTAAATGTTAAGCAAGACTGAGAAAGACCCATCCAGAAATTTATTCATCTGTTGGTTAAAAAATACTGGACTTGGGCTCCAGTATCCACATGTGGGGTTAACATTTCACAGCAGTCAGTGTCATAAAGGACTGATCAACTCTGATCCTATTCTGTGAATTCAGCCTCTTGTTTATTTGGCCAATATTGGAAGGACTAGAAAATGAAATATTTTTATATTCAAGAAAATAAAAGTCCAAAGCAAACATTGTTTATGGTCCGTTTATCTCACTGTCCATATTTTTTAAAGCAAGATAAAGACAGGTTAGACTTGACACTGAGGTTGTTTAGTCTCTTGTTCATGAGGCTTCAGACAAACTATCCAGATTTATATTTGTCCCTTTTTGAATTGTGACATGCACTGGAAGAGTTTTGGACTGAGAAAAGAGATTTCTATTAGATTTTTACAGTTTTAACTTATTACTTTTTCAAATAAAGCATCATGTTCCATTAATGTGATAGGAAACAGATTTGTGGAAGAAAGTAGTCTACATAATAATCAACGTAAGACAGTATTGCCAAAAAACAGACTTTGTTTGTGGAAATCTTCAAATAAAATATCTGCATTATTGATTCTTTTGAGATAATATCCAGAGAACCATACAAAGATTTATGTTTCTGCTTCCTGTTTGCTGCAAATGTGTAGAAAGACAAAAATACTCTCCTCAAATGCTTTAAATCTAAACCAGCTTAAATAGAGAAAGGGATGGACAGGTAAAGATTTAGAACAGTGAAGGCTATATGTCAATTTAAATCTGCTTTCCCTTATTTATTCTTTTAGTATGGGCCTATATGTCAACAAATAAAAATGTAAAGACCAAGTTATTTTGCTGCTCAAATAAATATGAACATTGCCATGGGGATATTCTATTCATCCTTTCTCTTTCACATTGTTTAATGTCACTCCACTGTTCTCTTATAACAAAAAATACTTCCAGACGTCCAAATTTTTCTCTAGAAACAAGTACTTCATCAATAAGCCAGGAAAAATATTGCAGGTGTTTTTATGTATCCAGCTGTTAGAATGGATGTAGAAAAAACCTTTTATATTTTAGTTTTGTAGCAACTGGTTAATAGGATAGGAAGAGAGGTTAAATCTCAGTAGATGTGCAAGAAGGAGGAGGTAGGAAAGCTTTGTTGCTATGGTACTCTATAAACTCAAAACCTTGGATTTGGGAATATGTAAAGAGGTCAGTGACATATATGCTAAGGAATGAAATCCTGCTGGAGGATCTTCATTTAAAAATGAGGTGATATGGGGCAGCTGGAGATTCTCTATCAGTCTGAGGTGAATCATATTGGTTTTGACCCCTCTAGAGAGCCACTTCCATAATGAAGTTGAGAACGCCATTATGGAAGTTTTGCTCAACTGCACTATTAATATAGCTGTTTATTTATAAAGATCACCCCTAAGTTCTAAGCTAAATGTCTATTGTAAATCTTCATTGCAGATTGGCTAGGTATTCATTTCTGGAACATGGCATATGAAGAAATCCAAATTTGTTCAAATAAGCTTTTGACTTTTTTGAAAGTCTATTGTAAACCTCGTATAAAAGAACTTCTAAAATAGCTCAGTTAGTTTAATATTTTTCTGTAAGATTCTGGAATCAGGAAAAATGGCAATAATGACATACCCAGTTGCTGCCTTCTTCATACTGAACATTTACAAGGGGATTCTGCTTAATTACTTCAGCTCCTCGATTTGCTTATAGATAATGCTTTCAGTTTAGTAGTATTTAAACCATTTATAAATAAACTTGTACATCTCTTATGCTGCTCATTTATTGTGCTTTATTTACAGCCAAGAGTCTCTTGGGTGCTTAGAGAATATCTACAGCATAGTTTTCCTGCAGCACTTGAAAAACTGTGCAATGTCTTAGCTCAATATTCATATGTGCTAAATACTTTGGCTCATTTAGGGAAAAACTGTTGAATTTGAACTTCACTTTCATTGTCTGTTTGTGACAGAAATATTGGTAACAGAAAAAACCACTCCAGTGTGACATAACCAGAACATTCACTTAAAATTTCATCTGAATACTGCCAGAAATATTTTCACTATTTGCCTATCTTGACTGAAGATTCAATAATGTTTATTCTTCTGAAAAATATGCAGATTTCTGTGTACATCTTGACTAATTGAACAGTTTTGTTGTGCAATTTCTGTTCTGACAAAGCCCTTGTGCTGTGACTCACCAGTGTCTCAACCAACTCATGCATTGTGCTCTGATATACTGTGGTCTGACATAGTGCTGCTTTTCTTCTATCACAGAGAAAACAGTACACTATGTCACTTTTCATGGCAGTAAACCTTTAATGCTTGAACCTGTATCCTTCTTGCTTTACAATGAAGAGCACAGTTTGAATTTAGTAGAAGAAAGGCTGTTGTGTTTTTGTTCTCAGAATCCCTAGCTCTGCCAAGAATAGCTTGATGCCATTTTAAGTCACAGAGTGTTTTCATTCTTTCTGCCTTGCACAGAACGCACCTCTGTTTTGTCATTAACGAGGAAGAAAGTATGCCACTGAGATACAGAGTTGCTGTAAATTTAATATATTATTCATGTACATTTTCATGCAAAAGTTGATTAAAATATAACTACTAATGCAAGTCCTTAACTTCCATTTTGCACATAAAGTAAGTGTTAAGTTTAAGAGGAATTTCTTCTGGCATGTCCTGGAACTCACTAATTTAAATAGATTGATTTACAATAAACTACATTCCTGCCACCTTTACTCTTAACGCTGGTGTAGCCAACAATTTTTTTCTTTTTCTCAAACTTAACTAGTTAAAAGTTTCTACTTTATTTTATGCTAAAAAAAAATTACTGTGAAAAAAATGTACAAAACCAACATGCAATTGCTGTAACTGCAATAAGACAAGTTCATAGTGATCTGAAAAGCATTAAAATGTGGGTAAGGAGGTAGAGTTATCTTCTCAAGAAACAAGCTAATATTAGTCATGTTTTTTTCATTAGAATAATCTTTTGCAAATAAATTTCACTGGTTACTGAAAGGCCTATTATTGCACAAATGAGTGATTTCAAATTTTCTGTTTTGTTCCTGCTCTGTTGTCTTCTCAGATTAATTAGCGCTCTTCCTAAGAGTCTAGACTGGATGTGACTTTGAAAACTTGGCCTAGGATTATAGAAGAGTAGACAAGATTTATGAGATTGGACTTAGAGTAGAAGGCTGAATTTTCTGCATGAAAATTTGTCTGTATCAGATGTACATAGAAAAAAGGTAAGATTTACTTCAGTCTGCACTGTGATGGATGGTATAACTGTTTTATTTTTTAGCTAATAGGCTCTATCCTGAATAGAGTATACAACTACTTAAAGTACAGAG